TTCACCAGGAAACCAAATTCCAAACACCTCCCAGCCACGCTTGTGAGGGTCTGCAGACCATGAGGCTGAGTGAAGCCAGAGCATGGGGATCCGCCAGGCACGCTGGCGGACAGCCACCGGCGTTCACACGTGTGCCCTGGTGTCCTGCGTGCACAGCGGGTGCTCGCGCAGAAGCTACTGGACTGTACCAGTAAGCACACGGCTTCAGGTATGAGGGCTTCACAACGTAAAGGCTTCCAGTGCGCTCACAGGACAAGGACTGTCCTGAAGTAACTTCTTGAGGTTCTCTCTCCTAGAAAACCGCAGCTGGGCTCCTTTAAGATGGGACAATCGCCAGGTGCTGGTGGTGCACGCCTTTAATCCCAGCACTTGGGAGGCAGAGGCAGGTGGATCTCTGGGAGTTCGAGGCCAGCCTGGTCTACAGAGTGAGTTCCAGGACAGCCTCCAAAACAATACAGAGAAACCCAGTCTCAAAAACCAAACCAAAACAAAACAAAGCAAAAAAAAAAAAAAAAAAAACCAAACCAAAACAAAACAGAGATGGACAACCACTAACTCCCACCAAGGCGACTTCCTATATGTCCTCGGCAGTCAGCCTGCAGGAAGCCCAGACCTCCACGGAGCAGGTGTGTGGCTCTGAGGGCCGGGGGAGGGGGTGTCGTGACAGATTGACGGATAAGCCTCCTCTCCACACCCTGATAGGATCTTCTGACAGTAACATGGAAGGCCACTGGCTGTGTCTCTGGGTTTTTCGAATGACATCACAGGACCAGCCATCTTGAAACCTGAGTGTCTCCTCTGGCTCTAACGGACACCATCACAACTGCAGCATCCAAGGACAGAGCAGCCGGGGTGGGTAAGGGTGCAGGTGACCCCGCTGGGTCTCGCTACTGGGGAGGCTGGGGCAGGAGGCCCAAAGTTCAGGGTCTAGCTTGAGCTGCAGCGTGAGTTCCAGGCTAGCGTGGGCGGCGGCTTTGTGAGATTCCCACCTCAAAAGAAGAAGAAGTAAAAATAGGTCTGGGGATGGCTGTCAGTCGCAGAATGATGCCTGCTTAGCAAGCATGAAGCCCTAGGTTCAACCTGTAGTACTAAGAAAATAAAGAGTATTAAATGTGCTCCCTTACGGGGGCGGGGAGGGGGGGAATGGAGCCTGCCGACCACAGCTGATTTGAATGTTGATTTAAACAAACATATTTTGGTGTCTAAATAGACCCTACTTTGGCATACATTCATCATCACTTAAGCTTAATTTACAAACATGCCAAGCGGCTATATTTTTTTTTCAACCAAAAAAACAAAATAGAATCGTTTCAATTTGAGGAGTTTTCAGAGATATCGGCAAGATTAGATGACAATGGCACTAATATTTTTAGAACAATATGACTCTTTCAGTTGTGAGAATGAGGAGAGGGGGAGGAGAGCAAGTCAGGGGAGTGCGCCAGCAAAGACGCTGCTATCGAAAGGGGGGCTCGAAGAAGCCAAGGCCAGCCCCCAGCAGGGAGGAGCAACAGCCCGACGCTACCTTCTCTATACCAGAATATCACCTCACCCATACTTTCGCAGAACCCGAAATGCTGCTTCACGCTTGCTAAGCAGGCATCATTCTATGACTGGCTGGCATCCCCAGGACTCTATTTATTTTTATTTTCTTTTTGAGGGGAAAACCAGGGAGAGGAGAGCCACCACCGCCTATGAGATGCAGCCCAGGGCGCCACCTTCCTTCCACAGGGTCGCGTTAGAAATGCAGGGAATGCGGTGGTGGCGCATGCCTTTAATCCCAGCACTCAGGAGGCAGAGGCAGGCGGATCTCTGTGAGTTCGAGGCCGGGCTGGACCGACAGCCTCCAAAACAATATACAGAGAAACCCTGTCTCGTAAAACCAAAAAAAAAAAAAAAAAGCAGGGGACCAGTGCTAGAGAGGTGGTTAGGAGGAACTGAGCTCAAGTCCTAGCAACCCTGCCGGGTGGCTCACAACATCCTGCAACTTCAGCTCTTGGGGACCCAACAACCCTTTTGTAGACTCTGGGGCGCCTCCACGCCAGCACACATCCCCACATGTACATGACAAAGATAAAAACAAATCCTTAAACAAACAAAAAAACCACACACACAGAGGGGCTGGAGGGTTGTGGCTCAGTGGTTAGGAGCACTGGCTGCTCTTCCAGAGAGCCAGGGTTCAGTTCCCAGCACCCACGTGGCGGCTCACAGCTGTCTGCAACCCTCATACCAATACACATGCAATACATTAAAAAGAATGCAGGCAGAGAGGACCAGCCTTGCTTTCAGATGCTCATGTTATAAGTATTTATGCGTATAAATAATCCTTTCCTATTTACAATGTATTTACAATGAATACCAAAAAGAATTGTCTACTCCCACACCATGACTTAAGGTTAATAAACAAGGATGAAGTGCCCTTCTCCCCTGGCCCCAGAAACGTGTCAAAAACTACCCCCTCGTCTGACATTGAGACCAAAGCCACACAGATACATAGACTTAAGTCGCTACAGAAGCCATGCGTGGTGCTCAGGAAACCTAAGCAGCAAGCGGTTACCACCTGCTAACATGACACAGTTACTAACCGGTACTGGCCAGTAAGCGCTGGTCCTGGCAGGTACCCACGAGGCCGCTGCTGCTAAAACCCTAAGTGATGGAGACAGCGGACTCGTCTGTGTACAGAGAGGTGACTCCCGCTCTTAAAGCAGGAGAGCTCACTCTACAGAGTGTGGGCACGTCGCTTAGGTACAGACGTTTGTCATTGCTGGCGAGAGCCAGCGTTCCTGAACAGAACTCTTTAACGCACTAGCTTCCTTCCGAGGCTGGAAGTCTTTGAGGCAAAGCAGCCAAGTTCAGGCGAAAAGAGGAAAAAGAAAAAGAAGGAAAGAAAAGGAAGAAAAGAGCGATATCATGCCGGGGAATTCTGGTGCTGCTTTGTATTGAAAATCTCCATGGGCTGGAGAGAGGGCTCGGCGGTTCAGAGCGCTTGCTGCTCTTCCTGAGGACCTGGGTTTAATTCTCAGTACTCACACGATGGCTCACAACCATTGAGGGCCACCAGACACATATGCAGGCAAAACACCCTAACACATGAAAATACAATGAAAGCAATTTTAAAAAGGAAAATGTTCTCAGGGTGGTAGTGGTGCGTTTCTTTAATCCCAGCACTCGGGAGGCAGAGGCAGGAGGATCTCTGTGAGTTCGAGGCCAGCCTGGTCTACAAGAGTGAGTTCCAGGACAGCCTCCAAAACAATAGAGAAACCCTGTCTCGGAAAACCAAGAAAACAGCCGGGCGTTGGTGGCGCACACCTTTAATCCCAGCACTTGAGAGGCAGAGGCAGGCGGATCTCTGTGAGTTCGAGGCCAGTCTGGTCTACAGAGTAAGTTCCAGGACAGTTAGGGCTACACAGAGAAACCCTGTCTCGAGGCGAGGGTGGGGGTAGGGAGCAGGGCAGCAGAAAGTGTTTTATCTTTTAATTCATTAATTAATTTTAAAAATTTGAAACAGGATCTCTTTGTGTAGCCCTGGCTGTCCTGGAAGCCTCTCTGTAGACCAGGCTGGCCTCAAACTCAGGAGATCCACTTGCCTCTGCCTCCCTAGTGCTGGTATTAAAGGCGTGCGCCACTATGCCCTGCTAAGGAAAATGTTTGAAGTAAAATGAAATAAATTTTTCTCTAAACTGAGAGCGTAGGCAGTGTGATGAGTTCACTGAAGCCCGCAGCGAGCTATAATTTAAAACTTCGAAGGAAAGAACACTTTCATGTGTGTCAGTGTTAACGGCAAATCTGAAGAGGGTTCAGATGAGAAAAAAGACAAGATCAGCAAAGAGTAGAAACTAAGTCTTCACATGTTAAGTAAAATTTTGTGAAAAGGTGTTTTATGCTTGTTTTTAAACATGTGTTGAGTACATCTGTGTGGGGTATGCTTGTGAATGAACTGCCTGGGGAGGCTAGGGGTGGAGTCAGAGGCCCTGAAGCCTGTGTGTGTGCGTGTGCGTGAGTGCGTGTGTGTGTGTGTGTGTGTGTGTGTGTGTGTGTGTGTGTGTGTACATCTATGTGCAGAGACCAGGGGTGGGGTCAGAGGCCCCGAAGCCTGTGTCTGTGCTTGTGTGTGCGCGTGCGTGCGTGTGTGCATGCGCGCTCGTGTGTGTGTGTGTGTGTGTGTGTGTGTGTACATCTATGTGCAGAGACCAGGGGTGGAGTCAGAGACCCTGAAGCCTGTGTGTGTGTGTGTGTGTGTGTGTGTGTGCAGAGGCCAGGGGTGGAGTCAGAGGCCCCGAAGCCTGTGTGTGTGTGTGTGTGTGTGTGTGTGTGCAGAGGCCAGGGGTGGAGTCAGAGGCCCCGAAGCCTGTGTGTGTGTGTGTGTGTGTGTGTGTGTGTGTGTGTGTGTGTGTGTATGCAGAGGCCAGGGGTGGAGTCAGAGGCCCTGAAGCCTGTGTCTGTGCTTGCGTGTGTGCGTGCGTGCGCGTGTACATCTATGTGCAGAGACCAGGGGTGGGGTCAGAGGCCCTGAAGCTAGACTCCCAGCTGGCTGTGAACCACCAGGCGTGGGTGCTGGAACTGAGCTTGGCTCCTCTACAAGAACAGTGCATGCTCTCAACCGCTAAGCCTTGTGGGTAAATAAAATCCACTCTCCCTTCCGCCGGGGTTGAGGTTTATATTCTGATCCTGTGTTCCACTCTAAAAGGAGTATTTCCTTTCCCTCAGGGAACGTAGCTGCAGAGAATCCAATTGTTGTTTACAGACAGGGTCTCACTTCGTGACCTGGGCTGGCCTCGAACTCATGGCCGTGCCTTTGCCTCAGTGCTGGGGTCACAGGGGTATGGCGCCACACCCAGTTAGGAAGAGTTTCTTCCAAATTCAGAGTATTAAAGAATTTTTAAAAAATAGATGACGCTTCTTCACACTTAGAAACTAAACTGTCTCCCCCAAACAACTGAGATGTTTAGCTGACTTCAGAAAGGCATTCAAAGTTTTAAACTCGAATAGCTTTTTCCTCTCACCTGATCCAGTCCATCAGCTCCACTGTATCTGGGTCGTAGAATTCTTTCAACTCGGAGAGTTCATCCATCATTCCTGGCCAGGACTGAAATTAAAAACAAAATGAGCCCTGTAACAGTCACCAAGATGAAATAACAGAGAAAGAGAAACTTTGTATCATGTGCTCAGGAGCCAAGCACACAAACGGAGATGGAAACCCAGAACAAAATCTACCTCTGAGAATTCCAGATTCATCCCTGCTGGAGCTCAGCGGGGTCAGACAAGCTCCGTTAGCTTTTGCATATGGACTTTTATGTTGCTTTAAAAAAATGCTACTGTTGGGCCTGGAGAGATAGTGGCTCAGTGACTGAGAGCATTTTCGGCTCTCGCAGGCGGGTAGCCTGCACCCACAAGGTAGCTCACAACAGACTGTACCCACTGCCCTCTTCTGGCCTCTGTGGGTATTGCACACACGTGGGACACATACACACACACACACACACACACACACACACACACACACACACACAGGGGCACTCCCCCCATTGCCCAAAGCTTCCAACGCAGAAAACATCCTGTCCTCACCATACCCCACAGGACAGATGGCGCGGCAGGGAACAGCACCATCAGATTTGTTTCCCCGGCACGGAAACTGTGGCTTGGGGAGGTGGCTGACAACCAGGCTCAGAAGTAGCCGAGCTGTGCCTCAGAACCTGCTCCTGAGCTCGGTGTCCCCTGCCTGGCCACCACAGTGCCATGACACTGTTCTGCTGCAAATGGTTTGATATGTGTTAATACAAATGCTGGCACAATGGGGAAAAAATGGCTGGGAATCGGACTCTCCAGGAGAATCTAACGTACTTTAGATTTGTTATTTATGCCACTTCTGAGGTTATGCAGGCACGATATAAAAAGAACATTCCTATCCATCACTCACCTAACGTAAGTTCTAGCTCATTAACCAGTTAAATCTTAATTATTGTCAACTGATGGTGGACCAAGCACCATTCTCCCTATTAATTCTTATTTTGTTGTTTTGAGGTGGTCTTACTATGTAGCCCAGGCTAGCCTCAAACTCCTGACTCACTCTACTAAATACTCTGGAGATTAAATATGTCGTCCCAGTTACTTGACAACCACCTAAATACCAACATAACAAAAGGCTCCAGTTATTTTTGGTATATGTGTGAAATCAATGGGTATTGGATATTTTTCTAAATCCAAAGTTGCTGATAAGGACAGAATGTTAGAAATCTAGTGCACCCTGGGGGAAATTCCCTAAATAATATGGGAGTAAAGAAGTAAATGTCACCTTTAACAGAGTGAAATAGATTAGCTGGGATTTTACCAATCCAATAAGCTGATGGAGACCAGGGTAAATGCTTTTAATCTCTGGCTCTGAGGAGCCTACTGCATGCTTTTCTCTCTGACTGGGATTATCCCAGAGGAAAGAACTCAACCCCCATTATAACTGTCAGTGAAACTCAAGCCAGGCTTCGAATAAATACATCACTGACAGAAAAATCTTAATAGTTGGCACCGATGGAAAATGGTTTTAGTGTCAGGGAAAAATTCCCAATGTCTATATTGTTCATGTTCTCTCTGATTTTATACTTAACTTTTTTTTTCCTTGAGACAGGGTTTCTCCATGTAGTTCTGGCTGTCCTGGAACTTGCTCTGTAGACCAGGCTGGCCTCAAACTTACAGAGACCCACCTGCCTCTGCTGGGATTAAAGGCATGCACACTAGCTACGATTCTTCTTAAAATGCCCGAGACTCGGGCTGGAGAGGTGGCTAAGTGGTTAAGAGCACCGACTGTTCTTCCAAAGGTCCTGAGTTCAATTCCCGGCAACCACATGGTGGCTCACAACCACCTTGAATGAGCTCTGATGCCCTCTCCTAGCAAGCAGGCAGAAGATTGTATACATAATAAATAAATAAAATATTATGTGTATATATTATACATAATAAATAAATAAAATATTTAAAAAATGCCAGAGACTCACTTACTGTGTAGCCCTGGCTGTCCTGGAACTCCTTACGTAGACCAGGCTGGCGACTGAACAGAGTTCCCCTGACTTGGTCTGCCCAACGCTGGGGTTGAAGTTATGTGCCACCATGCCTGGCTTTACGTGGCAAATTTGAGATGGAGTATATCTAAAGTACTTTGCACAGTATTGAGAAGAAGCATCAGGCTATCTGCCCAAGGCCTGAGCACCAGTCTTGAGAAACTCATCAGAGTCCCAAGTCTATCACCCCAGGACCACTGCCGGCCGCTGCTGGGAACGGCAGCTTTTCCAGTTCCACTGGTCCCTGGCAGCAGTGGTTGTTGGAGACAAGGGGACTTTGCTCCCACCAGGAAATGACTGGCTGTTACAGGGGGAGGAACCATCAGCATCAAGGACACGGAGGGCAGGCATTTTGCTACGCTATCCTTGGTGCGGGTCGGCGCCCTGGGACGTGGCTGTCTGCGAGAAAGTCCGAGGGTACAGAGAAGCACAGCAGCCGTTCGCGGCATCACGCGGCTGAGCTTAAACTTCTTCTGACTTAGTCGGTCCAGACTGCAACCCACATCTTGCATTCCCTACATCACTGATGCTGATGCTTCTGCCTGCCTGGGGACCATGTTTAAGAACCGAAGCTCTAGACCATGCTGTATTTATTCTGTAAACCCCTTCCTTAATCTTATCACTAAGCCCTTAATCAGCATAAAAAAATTCACCAAATTTCAACAAGTAGTGGAGAATTCAACACACACACACACACATACACACACACACAAACATATCCATACACACATATACATGGAGACACATATACACATGCATACAGACAGGCACACACACAAATATCTATGTACACATGCATGCATGCACGCATGCACACACGAACACATATGCACGCACGCACGCACGCACGCGCACACACACACACACAGACACACACACACACACACACACACACACACAGAGTTCCTAGTCCCATACCATCCTGTTCCAACAGCTGTAGTGGAGAACGATTCTGAACCTGGGGGGGGGGGTTAACCCTTATAATCCCACGTAAAAGTTGCCAAGTGCTCACTGAACATTTACCTTGTTTCACTTACGTATGTAAAAGAATACATTTCCCGGAGCTGGTGGGTTCCGCCTTTAGTGGCAGCTGTTCTGATAGGACAGGGACGATCAGGTGCAGGCCCCTAGCCTGAAGCTGTCAGTTTATAAACCCTCGTGTTATAACAGCAGCAGGCCCGTCTGGAGGCTGAGCTGTGGGAAGACGCTCTCCTGCCAACCTGACAAATCAGGACCTCGCCATAGCAACCTCTGGTCCACTGCTCTGACTTAAAACAGCGTAGGAAAACAGCAAAAATATGCTTGTTTTGTTTGAGTTTGGTTTTGGTCTAAGAAAGAGCAAAAGAGCTGGATGGTGGCTGCATGCACCTTTAATCCCAGCCCTCGGGAGGCAGAGGCAGGAGGATCTCTGTGAGTTCGAGACCAGCCTGATCCACAGAGTGAGTTCCAGGACAGCCAGGGCTACACAGAGAAACCCTGTCTCAGAAAAACACCACACCACCACCACCTCCCCTCCGCCAAACAAAAGAAAAGAAAAAGGTTCAATTGAATTAAGAATTAAGTATTCTCTGTTATTTTCTCAGGTGATAACCCAAGACCTATAAATCTCAAAGACACAACAAATGAATCACTAAGTGGCCAAATGACCAATGACAGGCATCCCTGAAGGGTGTCTTGGAACACTTTTAAATCAGTTAAAGGAGAACCTGACAGTTTTCTCTGCGTCATTAAAGTGTCTTCAGGTTGTGGAGAGGGGTCAGTCTTTCTGTTGTTTTTGTTTGGGTCTCATTATGAAGCCCAGGCTGACTCTCAGGGTTGAGATTACTCTCGGGCACCACCATGCGGGCCCCAAAGACTAACCTCACGGTTTATCCCAAGTGTCCAGTCCCCGTGAAGACATCTAATGAAATGTACAGGCTAAGTTGGTCCTACCTTAAAACCTCTCACTCTACATAAACCAAATTTCTCTGCCTGATTTGTTTCAAAAGAGGTCTGGAAATATTTTCAGGATCTGCTCTTCAGTAAGGGTTGAAACTAATGGAACGACTTTTTCTAAGTTTTTTTTTTTTTTGGATGACTTTTATACTGTAACACTTAACCCCTAAAAATTGCCAGGCGTTGGTGGCGCACGCCTATAATCCCAGCACTCGGGAGGCAGAGGCAGGCGGATCTCTGTGAGTTCGAGGCCAGCCTGGTCTACAGAGCGAGTTCCAGGACAGCCTCCAAAACAATACAGAAAAAAAAAACACCCTAAAAACTACAAGTTTAAAGACTGCTTTTCCTATCAATGCCACCTCAACAAGACTCAGAGGAAGTCTCTGGGGATGCCACAAGCCCCTCTGCTGCCAAACGAAGAGCGGGCAGGACCAGCCTTACCTTACAGCACAGGTACAGGAGCGTGAGTATTGGCACCGAATACCGCATGACCCAGATCTGTGGGACAAAGACTCTGTTAGATCACACCTCTCTAGACCTCTGTGGCCTCCACGCCTGGCTTTGTTCCTGTACGCCTTTCGGAGACAGCGGAACCAAACAAACTGAATGAAGGCATCACACCTGTCAAGCCACTGAGCTCCCTGCGCCGCCTGCACCACCCTGCCGCCTAACAAATGCAGAGGGCAGAGTGGTTCGTGGTCACGGGCTGGTCAGCTCTACCCCGCAGATGCTGGTAAGTTACCTTCAGGAAATTGCCTTATAACAATGGGACAACTGGAAAATTTTAATTTCATGTTTCGTGCTCTTTTTGCTGCATTCCTGAGTTCTGTGTATAGTGAACACATCCGACACAAGTGACTTAAAACTATAATTGGCAGAGCCAGGCAGTGGTGGCGCACGCCTTTAATCCCAGCACTTGGGAGGCAGAGGAGAGTGGGTCTCTGTGAGTTCCAGGCCAGCCTGGTCTACAAATCGAGTCTGAGGACAGCCAGGGCTGTTACACAGAGAAACCCTATCTTGAAAAACAACAACAACAATAAAAAAAAAAATTGATGACCAGGCTCCAATGCACAGCCCCAGTCCTGGTCATGCAGAGGGCTTTGGTTAAACTAAATATGCCATAAGACAAAAAAATCTAATGAGGGGACCGGTAGGTGGCAGTCAGCTGGCTACGTGATATTAAGCTACGGTCGCCTGGGAAGAGGAAGCCTAAACTGGGCAGATGTCTCCCTCAGACAGGCCTGCGCTCAAGCCGGTGGGGGCATTTTCTTCATTAGTGGTGGATGTGGGGAGGGCCCAGCCCACGGTGGGCGGTGCTGAAGTGGGCGAGCGGAGCCAGCCCCGGGGAGCAAGCATTCCTCCCCTGCTTTGCTTCGTTCCTGCCTTGAGCCGCTGCTCTGACTTCCTGTCGGCGACGGGCCGTGGCCCGGGACACAGACGTTCCATAGAGCCTTTCCTTCCCAAGTTACTCCTGGCCATGGTGTTTTATCGCAGCAACGGGAAGCTAACTAGGACAGGGCGGGGAGGGCTCACAGGCGTGGGAGGGAGTTAGGAAGGAATGTTGAGATAGGAGCTAGACTACATTATACACGTGTGTGGAACTATCAAAAAAAAACCCTTAACAATAAAAGATAAACTTAAAATAATAAACACATCTTAAAAATAAGTCCATATGCCGGGCGGTGGTAACCCATGCCTATAATCCCAGCACTCGGGAGGCAGAGGCAGGTGGATCTCTGTGAGTTCGAGGCCAGCCTGGTCTACAGAGTGAGTTCCAGGACAGCTTCCAAAACCACAGAGAAACCCTGTCTCGAAGGATAAAAAAAAAAAATCAGTCCTTATAAAAGATCAAGTGAATGAATTCAAGATCCAGATTTTGAGCCAGGAGTCGGTGGCGCATGCCTCTAATCCCAGCACTCAGGAGGCAGAGGCAGGCGGATCTCTGTGAGTTTGAGACCAGCCTGGTCTACTGAGTGAGTTCCAGGACACCTAGGGCTTCACAGAGAAACCCCATCACAAAACAAAGCAAAGCACTCCAGAGTTTGTATCCACTCTACTCGACAGTGGCACCCCCTGAAACTCTGACACAGAGGAAACCCTACAGCTCACTTCCAACTGGACAGAGAGAGGACACGGCACTCACCCTCTTTGGGTTACAGAGATGAAGCAGCCTCAGAAGCAATTCCCAGATCTCAGAGCTGCACAGGCCAAATGACGCGAAGACACACATATGGGAGATCCACAGGTATTTCATCCTGCAAGAGCAGAGAGAGGGGGCCGTCAGCAGCACCGGCTGGTGGGAGCCTCAGGCGAGGGAGGGAGGGAAGCCCCGCACCTAAGATGGCCCTGTCAATCCGCACAGAAGCCACCGGCCCGAGGGCTACTTTCCGTCACTTTCTAGGAGGAGTCATGTAAGTGAACCCTTGGAGAATGTTTGCAGCTAAGGGAAACCCTGGCAGTGATATGGAGAAATGGGAATACATGAGGGCAGATCATCAGCGAAGGTGGCTGTGGGTTCTGAGTCACACGGCCAGGCCACACCAACTAAAAAGCCGTCGAGTTAAATCAAAGAAATCGGCTGAGATGGAGATACCTCATGGTACTCAGCGCCAAGACCCCAAACAGAAGGGTGTGGATTAAGTTGTAAGCGGCTTCCGGTTTCAGGTCAACGGCACACTTTCTTGTCTGACCCGTGGGCTGCGGACTTGCCGAATCGCTGGAGAAAACAGGAAATGAGCCACGGTGAGGCCGGATGTGTAACTCTGCTTCATGCTATTTTCCCTACGAGGGAACGAATCGGCGTCGTCGGCGTGGAATTTGAGACGTGATGTCATAGTGTAAACGCATCAGCAATTAAGCAACTGCAATTTCACAGAAGCTTTTCAATAAAAATGCAAGCAGATTCAATTCTTTCAAGAATTACAGGAACAAATTCTCTGGAGACGCTTCCCTATGGGAGAGCTCTAAATTTGAGGCCAGCCTGGTCTATAGAATGAGTCCGGGGGGACAGCCTGATCTACAGGGTGAGCTCAAGGACAGCCAGCACCGCACAGAGAAACCTGGTCTCGAAAAACCACCACCACCACCACCACCACCACCAGCAGCAGCAAAATTATGTACCTTTGAATTCAGTTAATGGATCAAGGACCACTTCACCTACCAAAGCCTCATTATTTACAACCAATAGATGAATACTATCCCAATTAAAGGGTGCCCGGGCACACAATTGGATAGAGTGAATGGCACTAACGTAAATGGGAGAATGAACACTAACTCTAAATACCACTTAACTGTGTCCTTACTTATCTATTTCTCTTCTTTACTTGTTTATTTCTGAACAGGGTCTCACTACGTAGCTCCAGCTGGATTTGAACGCCTTAGTTTCCCATTTCAGTTCCCGAGTGCTAGGATTAGAGGTGTGCACCCCAGGCCCGGCTGTGGGAATTGGTTTTTTTTTTTTTTTGGTTCTTTTTGCTTATTTGTTTTGATTTTATGTGTATGGGCGTTTTGTGTGCATGCGTGTGTGTGTGTGTGTGTGTGTGTGTGTGTGTGTGTGTGTGTGTGTGTGTGTACCTTGTGTATGCCTGATGTCCTTGCAGTCCAGGAGAGGGCAATGGATCCTCTGGGATTGGCTGTGAGCCACTGTGTGAGCCCGTGCTATTAACTTCTGATCAACCTCTTTGGCTCCAGTTTTAAAACATATTTAAAAAAAATAGAATCCAAGGGCTGGAGAGACGGCTCAGTGATTAAGAGCACCGACTGCTCTTCTAAAGGACCTGGGTTTGGTTCCTAGCACCTACATGGCAGCTAACTGTAGTCTCTAATTCCAGTTCCAGAGTACCCGACACCCTCTTCTGGCCTCTGAGCGTACTGCAAACACGTTATACAGGCATAACACACACACATTAAATAAAAGTAAATACACCTTAAAAGAAAAAACACCCTTTGACCACTAAATCAACACTCATTAAGAAACTACTGTTGTTTAATTAACATAGTGCTTTTCCTTGAAAACCTGCTAAAAGTTGTTATCAGGTAGACAGGGTCCTCTAATGCTGCAGTTCTCAACCTGTGGGCCACGACCCCTTTGGGGGTCAAATGACACTTTCACGGGAGTTGCATAGCTGATATCCTATATATGAGATAGTTACATTATGATTCACTAACAGTAGCAGAATTACAGTTATGAAATAGCAACAAAAATCATCTTATGGCCAGGAGTTGGTGGTGCACGCCTTTAATCCCAGCACTCAGGAGGCAGAGGCAGGCGGATCTCTGTGAGTTCGAGGCCAGCCTGGTCTACCGAGCAAGTTCCAGGACAGCCTCCAAAACAATACAGAGAAACCCTGTCTTGTAAAAACAAAAAAACAAAAAAACAAAAACCAAACCAAAAAAACCCTTCATACTCCCGATGCTTTCCTCTGCAGCTGGGAGACACGCTGAGTTTTAAGTACAGGCGTGAATACACAAAAGTTTCAGTAAACACTCATAATTACGGGCCATACCAACTTCACGAGCTTTCAAACGAAAGAGCGGACAAAACAACAATAATCAACTCCTTGTATGGCTGCTCCTGGGACTCAAACCCAGGGACCTCAGGCATGTTAGACAAGTGATGTCTCACTGGGCTACATAGCCATCCCTTAATTCTCCTCGAAACAGGGTCTAAATTGCTCCCATTGTCCCTGAACTCATTTTTGTGGAGGGTGGCCTTGAACTTGTGATCCTCCTGCCTCGGCCTCTTGAGTAGACAGCCTTACAGGTCTTTATCACCGTGTACGAAGTTCTCACTTGAGAATCATGTGATGCAGTAGTTAACCCCCTCCAAAAAAAATTGCACACACACACACACACACAGCCCAAAACAACAACAACAAAAAACCCCACAAAACAACCCTCCCATGTTTCCGGTCATTTTACTATTTTTGTATCATGCCGCATTATGACTCTCATTGGCAGCAGGACCCTAGTTGCATGGGCCTAATCTGGAAGGAGAAAGAAAAAAGCCACGGGGAACTAATCAGGGAGACCAAGCCAGACCCGTGAACCAACCAACAATGGCAACATCGGCTAGCGTTAGCTGATGCCCACAAAGGGTCTCGGTACAAAGACGTGACTTTCCATACTTAGTGTGGCTTTCACCCTGCCACCCACCCAGCAGCCGCACTGAAGATCTTGCTCTGTAGGAAGAAAAGGAGACAGAAGTACGGACAGGTCACCCAGCTCGCCAGAGATGGGCGCTCCCTAGCATGCTGGCCCGACAGCAAGGCAGCCCGTGCGGCATTGCGTGCCCACCCTAAATGGCTACGGGCTTCTGTTCCGTGTATTGTTTTCATCCCCCCTCCTCCCTCCCTCCTCCCTCCCTCCTCCCTCCCCCTCCCTCCCTCCTCCCTCCCCGTGCTCCCATCTGGAACAACGTGCTTCAAAGCCCTACCTGAGATTATGAAAGGCAACAACTAAGGCTGTGGTCACGGTGACAAGCAGGACAAACACGTAGGCGTAAAACAGCAGCGTCTCGGAGAGCCTCTGGAATGTGTTGAGGGGCAGGAGGCCGAAGGCTTCTTCACACAGGTAGAGATTTGCGTCGAAATCCCTGGGGAAGGAAGGAAGGAGGGAGGGAGGGAAGGAAGGAAGGAAGGAAGGAGTGAGGAAAGAAGGGAGGGAGGAAGGAAGGAAGGAAGGAAGGAAGAAGGAAGGAAGGAAGGAAGGAAAGAAGGCAGGAAGAAAGGAAGGAAGGAGGGAGGGAGGGAAGGAGAGAGGAAGGAAGGGAGGAAGGAAGGCAGGCAGGCAGGAAGGAAGGAAGGAAAGAAGGCAGGAAGAAAGGAAGGAAGGAGGGAGGGAGGGAAGGAGAGAGGAAGGAAGGGAGGAAGGAAGGCAGGCAGGCAGGAAGGAAGGAAGGAAGGAAGGGAGGAAAGAAGGAAGGAAGGGAGGAAGGAAGGGAGGCAGGAAGGAAGGAAGGAAGGAAGAAGGAAGGAAGAAAGGCAGGAAGGCAAGGCGAGATGTCACAGCCCTGCGAGGAAAACCGCAGGCAGGATGCCGGCTGAGGCTTTTAGAGGGCTTCCGAGTCTCACGCCACTCATACCTGGTCGCTCCAAACCCAAATTTGGCCTTCAGAAACTTGAAGATGTGCTCGTCTGACTTCAGGTTAAGAATTCTCTGTTAGGAGGAGAGAAAGGGAAGTGGGCTACTAGTGTCTCCCTGACGGCCAGTGATGGACACAGCGCGTAGCAGGAGCACAGGAGGCTGGAGAGAGCTCCCAAACTCTGCCCCATCTCCTTCCTCTCCCCGTCAAAGGGTGACCCTTTCCACCTGCACGGACTCAACACCGCGTGGAGTGGGTAAAAGAAAGGTAGCCTTTTAGTTTTATATCAGAAAAATCAACAAAATGAAAGGTCATTGGGCTTTCAGGTTTGGACACAGGACTCGGTCATTCTCAGATAACTCTGGACAGAAAACGACACAGGACTCGGTCATTCTCGGATAACTCTGGACAGATGTGACCCTGAGGTGTAGATGCCCCCGATTCCAGGGTTCATCATTAGTGATGGTGACTTTAATTTACATAGCTTTATTTTTTTATTTATGGATTATAAAAACCCACGCAGTACCAACAGCGGGGACTGGAGAGGCGGCCCAAGCTGTTCAGAGTCTGTACTGCTCTTGCAGAGGACCTGAGCAGGTTCCTGGCGCCACCAGTAGAGAAACTCAGACCTGCCCATGACCCCAGCTTCGGGGGATCTGATGCCCTCTACTGGCCTTCATGGGCATTGCACTCATGTGCACCCCTCATCCCCCACATACCCATCACTGAAAACAACAAAAATAAAATCTTAAAGACAAAAATGGGGAAAACAAGCCGGGCGTTGGTGGCACACGCCTATAATCCCAGCACTCGGGGGGCAGAGGCAGGCGGATCTCTGTGAGTTCGAGGCCAGCCTGGACTACAAGAGTGAGTTCCAGGACAGCCTCCAAACAATACAGAGAAGCCCTGCCTTGAAAAACCAAAAGAAAAAGAAGGGGGGGGAGGGAGAAACAGTACCAGATAAAGAAAGGCAGGGGGAGAATAAGATAAAATCAGAACTGAGGTTAGAAAACAAAAAAAATCCATTAACAGCGAGGCAGAAACGTGGCTTGTGCCTCTGGGTGGCAAATACAACTGCTTGGAGCAAGGGAAATGCTTCCGTAGGTCTAGAACGCGCAAGGAGGGTCAGTCTGCTTTTTTTTCCTTCCCTAATCCGCTGTTGCAGGTCTCTGCTGAATCACTCAGCGAGGGTCGATCAATAGACTCTTATCCTTTGGAGTGTCAAAAACAGAAGTCCAGGCTCAAAGGTCTCTACGGGTTAAATCAAAGAGCCTTTCGCTGAGTCTGGCGGGTGGGGAAGCGGGTGAGCTTTGCGCGTGTAAGCTGCGAGGGAGCACAGCCGATCCTTGCTATTATCGCAGAAACTGGTGCAGGGAAGCCTTCAGGCGGTCCAGTGTTCCGTGTAGTGTTTGCATACGAACACTCTTCTGGACTTTTTAATTGGAGGGGTGGGGTGGGGTACAGTTTACTCTTCTGGACTCTTTTTAATTGGGTGGGGTAACAGTTTGAGGTACTGGACTTAGGGCCTTGCCCAGTCTACTATCTAAGATGCACAGCCCTGTCTCCCTGCAGCACACAGGCTGGCCTTGAACTCAGGAACCTCCTGCCTCAGTGTCCTAAAGGCTGGGATTACGGGAATGCACCACACCGTACTTGGCCAACTCAAGATTACTTACAAGGTCAAATATAAAATAAGTGCTTAAGTGGATGTAATACTGTATTATTTAGGAAACACAAGAGAAAAATCTACACATGTTCTAGGAGTAGTTTCTGAGTGTGTGTGTGTGTGTGTGTGTGTGTGTGCACATGTTGTATGTGTGTGTAAAGGCTGGATGTTAATGCGAGGTGTCTTCCTCAACCTTAGTATCTGAGACAGGGCCTCCTCTCCATGAACCTGGAGCTCACTGATTCCGGCAGGCTGGCTGACCAGTGAGTTCCAGGGCTATGCCCGTCTGTCTCCCAGGCCCCGGGACTACAGACACATGCCGCCTGGGACCTGAGGGTCTGAACCTAGGCCTTTGTGCTCGGGTGGCAAGCACTTTACCCAGTCATCTCTGCAGCCCCTCTTCTGAGTAACTTTGAATCCTCCCATAGGAAACTGCGCATATGACAACGGAGTTTAAGAACAGAGTGGCTGCCGGGCGTTGGTGGCGCACGCCTTTAATCCCAGCACTCGGGAGGCAGAGGCAGGCGGATCTCTGTGAGTTCCGAGGCCAGCCTGGTCTACAAGAGCTAGTTCCAGGACAGGCTGTAGTGACACACACACACACAGAGACCCTGCCTGGAAAAAAAAACCAAAACAAAGCAGAACGAAAAAGAAAGCAGAATGTCCATTGCGGTTCACTGACTAAAAAAATTTTTTTTCCTTTTTGACAGCCAACATGGGGAAGAAACAGACACTGCCACGCTCCTCTGGCGGGGAAGGAAGACGCTCACAGATGTCTCTTAGGCGAGACCAGCCTTCAAGAAGAGGGGAGGGGGGGTTACAGGGGTGTGGACGAGTCATTGCAGCTTTGCTCTGGCTTAAAAACAAGTGGGCGGCTGGAAGGCAGCTCAGCAGTTAAGAGCGCTGTTTGCCCTTCCAGAGGACCCGAGTTCGATTCCCAGCACCCACACCGTGGCTCGCAGTCATCTGTAGCTCAGAGGACCTGGAGTATGAGACATGTGCGTGGCACACAGACACACTCAGGAAAAACAGCCACAGACATAAAATAAAAATAATAAAATAAAAACAAAACCAAAGGGGGCACCAAAGTCCAAGGCGTATGCCTTAGGGGAAGGCCTGCCCTCAGAAAACAAAACAGGGCTGGGCATTGGTGGCGCACGCCTTTAATCCCAGCACTCGGGAGGCAGAGGCAGGCGGATCTCTGTGAGTTCAAGGCCGGGCTGGACCGACAGCCTCCAAAACAATACAGAGAAACCCTGTCTCGTAAAACCAAAAAAGAAAAAAAGAAAAGAAAACAGAACAGAGACCACCAGACCGACAGTCAACAAAGCCATGCCGCAGAGCACTGAGACAAACATCCTGTTAAAGCCGGCACCTGGCAGGCAGAGCCAGGCGGAGCTCTGTATTGCAGGCCAGCCTGCTCTGCACAGTGACCAGATTACTAAATGAGCTTTTCTTCAATTCCTTTTAGTGGTGAGAACAGAACTCAGGGCTCTGCACATGCCGAGTTCATGCATGCCCACGGCGACATCCCAGCCTGGGGTTGTTCGTTTTAACTTAGTAAAAAACGAAACTCACATCTGAACAACAACGACCAACGACAACAAGAAAAGTTCCCAATGAACCCCGCCTTGTGAGGGGCATGGTAGTGCATACCTGTAGCCCCAGCACAAGGGTGGCTTAGGCAGTGGGATTAGGAGTTCAAGGCCGGCTGGGTCATACCCAGTCTCAAAAACCTCCCAAACACAGCAAATAGAAAACGATCATTAAAAAAAGTACCGTGGGGCTCATAGGGAACGGCTTTTAAAGTTGAGCTTTAAATCTGATGAGTTCAAGGATGGACAGACTGTGCTGGCTACTTTTACGAGAGGATGGAGCCTAGACTAAGAAAATGCTTCCGTAAGACCAGGCTATAACAAGCCTGTGGGGGCATTGTCTTAACTAATGATCTAAGGGGGAGGGTCCAGCCCATTGTGGGTGGAGCCATCTCTGGCCTGGTGGTCCTGGGTTCTATAAGAAAGCAGGCCGAGCAAGCCATGAGGAACAAGCCAGTGAGCAGCTCCCCCTCCATGGCCTCTGCCCCAGTTTCTGCCTCCAGGTTCCTGTCCTGTCTGAGTTCTTGCCTTGGCTTCCCTCAGTGGATTGTGACTGGCTGGGGATGTATAAGCAAAATAAACCCCTTCCTGCCCGATTTGCCTTTGGTCGCGGGGTTTCATGACAACGGTAACCCTAACTAAGGACATATACCACAGGGATTTGAATGAGATGTGTCCACACACACACAGTCTCAGGCATCTGAACACTTGGTGCTTTCCTTGGTGGCCCTGTGTGAGGAGGATCAGGAGGCGTGGCCTGGTTGGAGGAAGTGTGTTGTCACCTGGGTGGGCTCTGCGGGGTTTAAGGTCTCACCCCACACCCAGTCTGATCTCTCTGCCGCCTGCTACGGTTTAAGATTCCAGCCCTCAGCACGCTTGGCCCCACCATCATGGACCCTGAGCCTCTGGAACCGTAAGCCCAAGTAAACTCTTCTCTGGATCGTTTTGGCCATGTTGCTTTGTCACAGCAGCAGAAAAGCAACTAATATAGATTTGTTGTGGAAGGGGAGCGAAATGAATAATGAAAACCAACGAAGCCAAGTGTGGCCCTTGCTGGGTCAATCGTGACTCAGTGATTCAAGCATGTTTTAACTATTTCTAGTAAAAAGTTCAAAGCACACCACAAACACATCTCCAGCGTCATATATACGTCTCCAAATGGATTAAATCTCACTTACTAACTTACCTTAATAATGTTGTTGAGCAAAAGTGTCAAACAGAAAACTAGAAGTAAATGCAGCAGGAGCTTCCCAATCCTAGTCAGAAAGGTCCCAGTTTTCAGGTTTTTCTAGAAATGGAAAGAATTGTGTTTCAATTTTTAATATTTAAATAAATTGTAATGTCACCTGTAACATCATAATCACTTTGGATTACCTGAAGATTTAAGATGTTGGCTCATGTAACACACAGAGAAACATGTGGAAAACATAGCTGGCTTCATGGGGGTCTCTTTTTCCTTATTTTAGTAATTTTGCGTGTGATATGAAGGGGGGATATTGTAGCTAACGTCTAAGCAGGGAGGAGAGGAAGAGTGGTGGGGGAGCAGTTGAGAAGGCACCAAGAAGGCACGAAAAAGCCTCGTGGGAACCTACTCTCGTTTGCAAGGCCATCTAAAGCTGCAATTAAATAAAGAAGGAATGTGAGCAGAGGTCACCTGCATGGGTGATCAAGGCTGTCCTAGAAGACACAGGTTATTAAGTGAAAACCCTGGCATGAGCACATGGGAGAGCTCCCTATGAATCGCTGGGTAGGAGGGAGGCCCCGGCAAACCCTAAGACAACACAATTCTTGGCTGCCCACTGTAACAGACATTAAGATTGTACTGGTGAAGACACACACACACACACACAGAGACAGACACAGACACACATGCATGTGCACACAGAGACAGACACAGACACACATGCATGTGCACACACACAGACACACATATACACGCATGTGCACACACACAGACAGAGTCAGACACATACACAGACACACATGCATGTGTGCACACACACACAGACACACACATGCATGCTCACACAGACACACACACACCCATGTGCACAGACACAGACACACACACGCATGTGCACATACACAGACACAGACACACACACGCAGCATGTGCACACACACAGACAGACAGACAGACACACAGACAGACAGACACACACACGCACACACACACACACACGCACACACACACACACACAACCTGCGCGCGCAGGTTGTAGAGAAACCAAACTGGAACTGGCTAGGAAACTCCCTCTTAGCAGGCCAGCTTTCATGGCGAAGGGAGGCTGCTATGCAGGATGCTGGGTCGGGAAGGCATCAACGGTCTTACCCAGCACTGACCCTGCATGCTATAATACTGGCCTGCGAGGGAAGGTGTGCCCACCGGAGTAATGGTGGCGTGACCGTTACAGGAGTAACCAACTACTTTCTGGCTGGATGAGGCTGATGCACCAGGAGGGAATTCACGCCTGGTTCTGTAAACGCACATGGCTGGGGAGGTCACTGGTCCTGGGAAAAACCTACGGTCGCTGTTTTGTTGAGTAGCCGTGCTGTCAAACTGTCTTCTAGACACTGACGTTTCTATCTACAGCAGCAGATCCGTCATTCTCTCAAACCTCTCTCTGCAGTGGGCAGTGGTTAGCGCAGAGACTCACAGCTGACCAAGGTCAGAGAATTACTGACTATGAGTGTTTAAATGAGACACGTTTATCACGCACCCCACCCCACCCCCCAGAGGAGAAGGGAGCAACAGCGGGACGGGGCGGTGGCAGGGTAGAGAGAAACATTCTGAAATGCAAACCTCAGGACATGGCATGGGGATTGCATGCATGAACTCCCAGCAGGTGCATGTGTACCTTCAAGAGACACATCAAGTCAGATGGATTCCAGCATGGAGCGGGAGGGGCTGGTGCGGCCCACCCCTGACTGGGGAACTACTGGCAGCTGATGGCGGCTGGGAGACAGTCTTTTTTTTCTGAGGGTATGGCTCCCGGCGGCGGGTTGCCCATACTGCGGCGGATGGCCCCACAGCCATCTGCACAAGCTAGAACTCACTGCATCCCGTGGGTAATTTTATCAGCTGGGGGGAGGGGAGACAGGAAGTTGGAAAGGGGGACGTGTCGGGGAGCCTGGGGAGATACTGAAGGGTGAAGAGTGGGGGTAGATACGATGGAAATATATGCTATACATGTATAGAACTCTCAAAGAATCCAAAATATAAAAAGTTCACATGATTTTACAATGCCTTACAGGATGCCCCAATGCCTCTGTAAGCACTCATTTGGATTCTCTGGGTTTTGACAACAGTTCGTTCATTTTAACTCACTTCAATGTCACTAACAGGCAGGAAAGGACGGTGCTGTTGCCGTCAAACAGCAAGGGGCCCAGACCCGGAAGACCGCAATGGACACACCGACGCTACCGAATACACTTACAAGTGTTTAATCTTGGATTGCGGCTTTATGTCTATAACATAGAATGATGCCGTTCAGAATAAAGAACCCTGGCTAACGCAGGAATCAGGGTTTCATTTGCATAGAAACAACCGCTGCTGAGAGCAAAGAATAAACTGAAGAGGTTTGAAACAATGTTTCCCCACGCACTTCGAAAGGAAAAGCAATTGTAACGCCGGTGGTGCTCTTTACTGGGTACTGGGTCCTTTTCATCTGAATTCAGGATGAAAATAAGGTCCAGTGAGCCACACAGTCAAAAGCAGATTTTGCGGGGCTAGAGAGACGGCTCAGCAGTTAAGACTGTGCACAGCTGCTTTTGCACAGGATCCCAGACTGGTTGCCAGAACTCAGTTTAGACAGCTCTCAACAGGGAGATCTGGTGCCCTCTTCTGTCCTCTATAGGAATTACACTCACGTGCACATTCACAACACACACACACACACAGCTAAAACTCAAAATCTTTTTAAATGAATACAGTTTATAAAATTAAAAAAAAAAGTCCTACCTGAAGCTTTCTTACAATTAGTACTGAGAGGTTGAAGCTGATGAGCAAGGACCCCAGAATCATGGCGTTAAAAAACTGGAGCGTGCAGACAAGGAGCAGGCAGCTTATCTGGATGCCGTACAGCCAGGTGGCCTGCAACAGAGACGACGACACGATGGGAGATTTCATCGGGGGACCCAGAGACGGTGACACAGACGTCACAAGTCAGGTCGCCA